AGGATCTGACCCAGCATGGATCAAGACAGGTATGACTGATCTGAAGCACTTTTTAGAAAAGGCAAAGAAGCATGAGCAGACTGGTATCCACATGCAAAATGCCCTCAAATTAGCTATGTTTGGGAAGATAAATATTTCATCCCAGCTGGATGAAAGCTACAGGGTAGGGATCAGAAAGCATCCCTACCCTGCTGGTATATATCTAGTCATCATATTCATAGCCCCCCCAGTAGAAAATTCCACCAGCCGCCACTGCTGTCTACATTCTGTTCAAATGCAGAAGGACCTGGCATATTGGTTCTCAGTACTTCAGAAAACCTTTCAACCAATCACAGATTAGAAAACTAGGAATACAGGAATCCTTGACCGTGGCTGCCAAATGTAGAGATTGCTTGTTGAAACAGATTTTACGAGAAAATCAATTCTGCAGGATGATAAATAGCCAAGCACAAAAAGTATTTGACATTTTTCTAGCCACTTATCTGATCGGCCATCTGATTGGTCATCCAATCCAAACAAACGTGTCCAAAGTGTGTTTGGGGAAGAGATCCAGACCCTCAGGTATTTTTAAACAAATATTGTAAGTTGTTGTCGCTCTTGCCGGTCAGGAATGGCGGAAGTTGAAGTGATGAGCTGATTACATGAAGACAGATGTCCCACTGGTGATGGGGAGGAGGCAGGTTGCTGCGTGAGCTATATGCTTTACTAGCAGAATGTGAGTTGCTGTTTAACTGCAGTGAGTTAAAGAGCCAAAAGTGTGTAGATGGCCCTCCAGAACTGAGTGGCACAGATGTGTAGAAGTGGGGGGATTGAAGTGAGGAGGTGGGATAGAGACCACGGGAGATATTCATGTTGTGTCCAATATGGCCTCCCACTATGCCCACTACGCACTAATAAAAATGATTGATTTTTAAATATCATTCATTTAATTATACTATACGCTGATTTGTGCCAATCTAAAGTCACCATGAATTACCATAAACCATATTTAACTAGTAGTGCATAGTTATTTCACTTGGTTCACAAGAGTTGCAATACCGTACTACCAAGTGTGCTGAATAGTGCAAAAGCAAGCACCAGAATGTCTTGGCTCCAGGGTCTCAAAATACGTTAACTGGCTCCTCTCGACGTGTGGAGCAGTGGCTCTACACTGAGCTCAGACTGTAACAGAACTTCTCACCCAGTCACTCTTCAGAGGGAACTTATATTGACCGCTTTAATCCTTTTAGACCCAAGTTCAAATCTTGCCTTTTGGCTCTGCGATTACTCTGTCAATCTACATCATCCATCAACACATGTGCTCAATGTGTAAATGGCTCAGGAACAATTCAATTATTTAAATGTTCATTAAAAACTGATTAGACAATGAAATTAAACACGTAAAACTAAATATACTAATATTCTTACAGTCTTGTTAAATCGTTTTTTTTCTGTAATGGCCATCTGACTGTCCCTTCAAAACCATAAATGAACTCCCATCTCCGACATGAGCCGATAGAGGGTTAGCAGCCTCTCGATAACTGGTCAGAGTCGTGTTAGTGACAATGTGTGAAAAGTCGCACAGTGTTGAGAAGTGTGTTGAGTTGAGCGCGAGGTGTGACTGTGTTTGTGAAAACCCAGATGTGAAAAGCACGGCCACCTGTTCCCTGGATAAACTCTGCCTTGCACTTTTAACTCCATCCATATAATATTTAGGCGAGTGAAACAAAGGCCAGAGTATCTGTCATCGGGACCTATAGACAATCCTTCTTTTTCTTAAATTATACACCAAAGAGACTCGCTCCATTCACTATATTGTAATTTCAGCAAATATTTATCCCTTGGTGTTAACTTTGCATAATTATACTGTGTAGTAAAAGAGCGTGGGGGTTTGGGAGAATAAATCTGAGACGTAACAGTGTCCGGCCCTGGACTGCTAATGTCAGCTCGTATTAACGCAGACATAACAACAGAATTTACAGTGACGACGAAAATGACACATGTTTCAAACGCTTTCCAAAAATACTGCTACGATAAAACATAATGTCAGGTATTCTAAGTGTGCTGTAAAATTGCACACAAGTCTCTCGTGATGCAGTTACTATGTGTGAAGAGTAGGGTTTGGGTTACCACAGACTGTTATGCAAGAAAAATAAAGTGTGTTCATTGCAATAAGTAATAATTAGTTAGTAAGTAAGAAGTAATCTTTTTTTTAAATATAGCGCCTTTCACAGACCAGAGTCACAAAGCACTTGTCAGACCTATTGTACATGTTTTTAGTGGTAGGGGAAACCGGAGCACCCAGAGGAAACCCACGCAGACACTCAGAACCCAGGACCTTCTTGCCGCCCATAATAGTAATTTTCTCACCACTATGTTGCATCATTCATTCATTCATTCATTTTCATCCCCTTTTTGGGTCAATTTCTGGGTTTAGGTGAGTGGCAATCAGAGCTGCCACACAATTCTTCTCCCTGATCCTCCTGCAGGAGGTTAGTCCACGGGAAGATGGCTGCTCTGTCATCAAAGTGGGGTTAAGTGTCTTGCCCAGGGACACAACGACAGCGGACATCAGTGGGAGCAGATGATATGGTTCGAGAGGGATCGAACCCATGACAAATAGGTTCAAAGACAAATGCTCTGCCAACTGAGCCACTGTTGCGCTTCATAATACATAATGCTTGACTTTTAAATGAGTAAATCAAATAAACAGTTTTAAAGAATGTAAAACACAGCATTGTTCAGCATCTGTCATTGATCTGTCCAACTGACTAACCTATTTTTCCTCTGAAAGAAAAATTGCCAATACTATCCCAATATTCAAATCAGGAGACTAACATTGTTTCACCAAATACCGACCTGTCCCCCTTCTGCCACAGTTTTCCAAAATAATGGGATGATGATCTACACGAGCTCATCATCGTGAGGTAATTTTGCGCAAATCTCTCACATTTTTAGTTTTAGACATTAAAATATATGGCACAATGCAGCAGAATAAAGCAGGAGGGTCTGTCAAAGCCTCGTGCGGACACTCAACGATATTGGTCACCTGCCTCTTATGGACCAATACCACTGTGTTTTCTGTCATATTTATTGTGTTTGAACCATAGACTGTAAATATTAACGGACGTAGTCACGCCTATCTCTGCTGTGCCACCACTTCCGCGGTCTATGGGCAGTTTCAAAATGGCCGTGGGGGCTGGAGTGCCTTCAAAAATTCACAACGACTAAACTAGACTGGTCCAAAAAAATTCACCCCCCTCAGCATTGACACACATGTGGTAACGTAGCTTTGGGCCAAGAGCCAACTTTTGGACCATCCTGTAAAGACGTTTTCGAGAGGTAAGAAGATGCTATATGTTAGCATTGGCTAATTCTGGCCGGGGGGGTATTGCAGCATGTCAGCGCACGTCATTTTGGCCACTTTTGAGACAGAACCCGCCCCCACCGGTTTGAACAGTTAGATTCTCTGATCTGTGTTGGCCAATTCAACGGTTGTGTAAAGTCCTCTGAGATAAATGGTGTGTGGTTGTACAAGAATAAAGTGAATTCAACTGAATAAAGACATTTTACTCAGAATATCAACACAAATCAGCCTAAACTAGTCTCTTTATGATTATTTATGATTTGAATGCCTTGTGTGATTTGAATATTTATTTTCTTGTTTAGTTGAGCCCTTTGAGTTGCCTTGTATACGAACTGTGCTATAACAAACAAACTTGCCTTGCCTGAAATTCAGATAAGATCGTATTTTGAAGGAAGGACGGGAGTGGAAGCTGCTAAACCTCAGGCCTGTGAGTAAAAAGTGGTGTGAAAAAATGTGAGGAAGCAAAAACTGCTCCACATTTTTCAGATTCTTATGGTTACGCTTTGGGACATTTCACTTTTCCGACTCATAAAAATCGACTCCTGGATTTCAAATACATTTCATTACAACTATTCATCCCTCTTCATCGAAAGTACATGTTTTTTGTGTGCAAATTCTCAGACTGAAAAAAATGTACAGTCCTATTTTTTGTTTAGCTTTTGTGCTAATTAGCTTTCGGGCTAATATCCAGTTGAGTGAATCCAACAGTGAAGAGAAATGGCTTCAGAAAAACAGTAGCAATAGAAAAGCAGCCTCGTGAACAGGCTCGGACCACTACAAACACGCAGTCGGGTGTGGCCCAGATTTGGAGGTTAGACAGAGCGAGACATGGTTAGTTAAATCTTTAGACGGCAGGAGACAATTTGCCGCTTTATTTGTACAACTTTGGTGACAGCAAAGTTGAGCTGAGACTAATAATATCCCAGTGTTATTTCATGGTAGCTTTAAAACATTTATTAAAACTATTAAATGGGACATAATTATGCAAAAACCCCTGAATAAGCAAAAAATAGTTACGCACTGCATTTATATTTCTTGTTTTAAGATCAAAATTGCATGATTGATGGACCTCTGAGGCTAAGCAGGACAGGGCCTGGTTAGTACTGTGATGGGAGACCTCTGGAAAACACCAGGTGCCACAGTGGGGCGGCTGCGGTTGTAAAGTGTCAAACTGTGGTTGTGTCCTTAGGCAAGACACTTCACCCACATTGCCGAGAATGAGTCTGGTGTGTGTAAATTGTTGGTGGCAGTGGTCGGGGGGGGGGGCCGATGGCACATACTGGTTGCCTAAATTCTATCAGTGTGTCCCAGGGCAGCTGTGGCTAGAGTAGTAGTTTACAATCATTGTGTGTGGAGCTTTTCTTTCTGCTGTAAAATCACTGCTCTGAAAACAATTAATATAAATGTGCAAGTGGTAGAAATAAACGTAATTCAGTCTTTCGTTCAAAAAAGAAAAAATGCCATGTGAAACGTCTTTGAATGTCCACTAAAGCACTATATAAAACCAATGCATTACAAAACTATTATTTTTATACACTTGATTTGTTTTTGCAACTCACTGATTTTTGGGTGTTTCTTGGAAGTCCATAAATGTATAAGCCTCGGACAAGTGCATTAGGGCGGTTCTGTCATTACTGCGGTGAAGTTACAGCTCTTAGTGGACAAACTTCTGCCCAGTGTCTAAACCAGACTGTGACCACGAAACCACCCTGAAGCCGAACGGACACTTATACGCACTGCTGCAGCTCCATGAAAGATACCAGCCCCCCGACTGCATTCAGACACACATACAAGAGTCGTAATAAGCCCGTAACGCCGACTTTGCCCGCATGTAAAAGTTTTCTTCTGATGCAACATTTGAAAACTTGTAAAAGACAGCTGACATTTCTGCTATTGGAGACAAACAACAATACTTTTGGTTATGGAGGCTGTAAAGTTTACACAGGCAGGTGGAGCTCGCTGGACACACAAGGTCCCAGTAAAAGGTGAGAATGTGTGGTTCATATGTGGCCTAAAGTCGCTCTCTAAATTTGGTCGGCCTCTGTCACAATAACATTTTAAAGACCTTATGCCGGGTTTGATTTATTTAGAAATACAGTTTTAATACCATTTTATATTAGAAGAGAACTACTAAAGGTTTCAAAATCTGTTGTTGTTTTTTTTGTCTGATCCCCCCAAATCGAAATAACCCCATAGCAACGCCCTTAGAGACAAAAAAACTTCAATTTTTTTTGCCGGAATCAATTTCAGATTGACATTGTCATGCAATTTTGATATCCACAATAAAAAAATAAAAAAACCCGGCATAAGGTCTTTAAGTCCATCCATATATTTTCTTCCGCTTCATCCGTTGCCGGGTAGTGGGGGCAACAGTCTAAGCAGAGACGGCCAGACTTGACAATTGCAAATATCATAATGTAATGTATACCATGGTGCTACCTACATGTGAAAGCCAGATCCCACCAGACCTCTGAAGTTAAGTGGGGCAGGGCCTAGTCAGTACTGTGATGGGAGACCTCTGGGAACACCAGGTGCCACAGTGGGGCGGTTGTAAAGTGCTGTAATGTTTTTTTGTTGTGTCCTTAGGCAAAACACTTCACCCACATTGCTTAGAATGAGTCTGGTATGTGCGTGAATGGCACTTACTGGTTTACTCGCTTCTGTCAGTGTGCCCCAGGGCAGCTGAGGCTTCTGTCATAGTTTATCATCACAGTGTACGGAGTAAATGAATAATGACATGTGAGGCATCTTTGAGAGTACATTTTTGGTCTTCATTTGGTCTTCATATTTGGGCGGCACGGTGGCTGAGTCGATAACACTCTCGCTTCTCAGCAAGATTGTCCTGGGTTTGAATCCCAGTCGGAACAGGGCCTTTCTGAGTGGAGTTTGCATGTTCTCCCCATGTCTGCGTAGGTTTACCCCGGGGCTCCGGTGTTACCCTACCACTGAAAACATGTACAATAGGTCTGGCAAGCGCCTCCTGTACTGGCCCCGCACCCATCTCTGTGTGGAGTGAGGGACAAATGCCCAAAAATAACAATTGTAAACCGCTTTGTGACTCTGGTCTGTGAAAGGCGGTATATAAATAAAGGTTACTTAAGATTACATAACTTTGTGACTTTTTCTGTTTCTATGTGTAGTTTATAGGTCATTGTAAAAACAAAATATTCTTTATTTTTTTTTAAATCTATACACTGCATTGCACACTGATACATTACTTACATTTAATAAATCTGGTGAAAATCAACATTTCTCATAATTCTATTTTGGTTTGAATGGGAGCAGTCAAAATGACGGCTGTGGGAGTTCTAGTAGTTTCAGAATTCTGAGAGTCCATGCGTTTCAACAAACGGCACACGATAAAACACAGCATCCCTATAGTTAAAACCCATAACAATACTAATTATAATAATAATCTTTATTCCAAACTTTAGGTCCATATAAAAGACAATGAAAATGCAGACAAATAAGAAAAGCTAACTAAGATTAGATAAACTTTATTGATCTCACAATGGAGAAATGTACACGTCACATTTGGCATAGGTAGAATCACTCAGGTGGCTGAGTGGATAGCACTCTCGGTTCTCAGCAAGAAGGTTCTGGGTTTGAATCCCGGAACCAGAAAGGGCCTTTCTGAGTGGAGTTTGCATGTTCTCCCCGTGTCTGCATATCATCCGGGTGCTCCAGTTTCCCCTACCACTAAAAACATTTGCTATAGTTCAGGATAAATGATTGTGTGTTTGTGAGTGCGAATGTGGAACAATGGATGGAAATTAGCCCATGGATACAATCCAGAGTGATGTGTTCATTAACATGTACTGTCCCAACCAAATAAACAATAAATGAATAAATAACTCAGACAGAAGTGTGCAACATGTTAAGGTTAAAAATATATTCTGTGCAAGATATATCATGTACAACAAAAAGTGGCAATAGCTGTGCTGTTGTGTCCTAGTGCAGGTCATTAGTGACTTCAATACAAATATATATATATAATATACATAAAACCAATGATCTGAGTCCTCCCATCATTCCGTGTTTCGCGCACTGACCCCACAGCGGATAATAACGGGCGCCTGGAACTCATCAGGGCCCGGGCTGTTGTAGTCTACGGTTTTGTAGGCGTCAAACTTTCCCCTCACTTTTGCTCTCTCCTCCCTCGACCAATCACGGCGCAGTGTCCCTTCGGGCTGCGCTCTGATTGGCTCCTGCGTCCTGTCCTCGCGCGCAGTGACGGCCCACGGGTGAGGAGCTCTCCCCTGCAAGCCCTGCATAGGACGTGGAGGGGCTGCCTGCCGCTGAGGAGGGGGGACACTTGTGCTTCAGGACACAGAGGAGACACAGGAGGAGCGTCCATCCCGTCAAGCAGCTGGAGGAAGCCCACAAACCCCCGGACCCCTTATGGCTGCTTGAGACGCGGCGACAGACCCCCCCTTTCCCCCTTTTTCTTTCTCTTCTCGGGGACTTCTTTGGGGCTTTTTACTTGTTCGTCCACTGAGCGCGTTGAGAGTGTAAAAAAAGTTTCTTCAAGTTCCCGTGGACGTCTCCCGTGGCGGTCATGGATACCCATATTAGGTGGAAAGTTAAACGGCGGATAAGGGACGCTCAACTGACCTTAGCAGTGATTTTGCTTTTTGTCACATCGCAAGCATATTCAGGTAAGAAGAAGCTGAAGTTTTTTTTTTTTTTTTTTTTTGCAAATCATATTTTAGACAACAGCGCACAAAGTTTCTCCATTTGATTTATGGTGAGAGGCCAGCCCCTCCTCCTTGTCTCATTCTTTATTGGCAACTATGCAGAGCTGGTCCCACCAACGCAAAAAATAAAAGAGGAATTGTAATAGAATGAGATAATTCTTCCCCCTCTGCACAGATGCACAGAGCTGGACAACATGATGTGGCATGGCTCATCTCATTCTTAATCTTACTTCTGTCAAGGGGTTTTATTTCAAGCATCAGGGGTTGGAGTAGAAATGATTTTAATTATAGTGGGTATAGCACTATAGCAGTCTCTTTTCCTTTGATTGCAGTGTGTTTTGAATATTAAAACACTCATGCATACTGTTCAAAATGATGAAGTGGTAAAGTTGGTACATATTTCCAGAAAACAGATATGTCTTTTTGTTTTAAATTAACTTTAAAGGCAATTGACAGTCTGGGGCATTTTTCTGTACCCTTTCCATCCCTGCTCAGCATTTAGGAACTGTGACTGTATAGGGTCCTGGAGAGGTCATCAAGCACTGTCCTGGTCACTCACGGCTTCTGCTTGATATATTATTAGCCCCATTAGAAGGCCTGGCTTTCTTGGTGGTCTGCTGAAAGTCTATTGCACGCCTTTATGTTCAACAGGTGGCTTTAAGAAGAGCTACGTCCAAGGAAAGTCAATGAGTAGCTTAAGTTTCAGCACCAAAAAGTACCAATGAGAAGATGCTGCGTCTCAAGTGATGTCATAGAGAGATAAAACAGCTGTGGTTGTCGTAACACTCAAAGAGAGTTTAATCATTACGTTGAAGGGGACGTTAATTGCGTAGGTTGTCGGAGAGTTCGGAAAAATCGTGTTCACTCGATGTGGAATGTTCAAGATAGCTACAAGCTGGGGAAGATGAATTAAGTTATTTCTGCAGGCAATATTTAATCAGCCCCTAAAACTGACAAAGATAGCAACCAGACTCTTGTAAGCAATCCTCAAGGGTGGTGGTACACTTCCTGAAACTTGACACTTGACACATGCCAAATGGGAAATGACTTGATGAGTGATTGTTGGCAACATGACAGCTTCTATGTAAACTAAAGCAGACCAATGGTTTTTGTACCAGTGCTTATTAATCCTTAATATAGGTACCGCAAAGTCAATTTTTTTGGGTTTCCCTACACACATGCCAAAATATTACTTCAGTCAAGGTGGATACTCGAGCTATAAACAGTATGATTAAGAATTGATATGCAGAAAATCAGAATCAAGATTGGTGGTTTTTGTTGGAGTTACATCAATTCAATACGAAACCATATGGTTTTGGGAAGTTTTGGGAAGTTTCGTGAAGAAAGAAGACCCAAGAGCACAGCTGTAGAAGATTTTTTTTTGCAGCACCCATGACAAACATCCATCACCCAAAAGGCCACGACGTAGCAGTGGTAGGACTTGGAAGTGGGATTAAAAGTGAGTTTATGAGAGGCTGGAGGTGAAGTCACTGTCGTGGATTCTTCTCGGAGTTCATCTGGACATGACATTAAAGAGGAAAGCTCACTTTGAACTGAGTGGTAATAAGAAGCGTGTATGGGACATGGAGGTCAGGAATGAGGTTAGCTCCAAGGGCAAGGTCAGGACTCTCCTACCGGGTTTACAGTTTCAGAGCCACTGGTTTATTATGTTTAAGTGGCGTTTTTTTTTCATCATCAATCATTACGGACAGAACCGAATTTGCAAAATACATTGTTGAATGCTTGAAAGTGATGCAGAGTTTGATGGCTTCTAGATAAGGTAGTTTAGTTTTACTTTTTCATCCCATAAGGAGAATTTCAGTGCTCAGAACAGTAGGAACAAAAGGATAACTCAAAACAAGATAATACCATAACGTCAAGCAACGTCAACAGGAACGGGGCTACCTCTCCAAACTGTGCTTTATATATTTTTGTTCTATCTCCATACATGAAGAAAACCATTCTTCGGTTTTACTGAACTCTTCCACATCTGGATTCAATAGGTTCCATTGTGCTGTCTGCTAAGCCTTTCAAAAAGCCAGAAAAATGTCTTCCAGATGTGTTTTTCCCATTCTAGGTGGAACTGAACTCTACGAGGGAGTTACTTTTACACCAAGTTGTGAAGGTTTTAGTTAGCGATTTCTTACTCCCTAAACCACTGTCCGTTTAGCAAAGTTTGTACAAATATCTTCCATCTGTTTTAGAATGATTGTAGATGTTTATGAGCGGTTGGAAGAATTCAAAAGGCTTGTAACACTGTAAAAAGCAGACCAGAAATGTCAACCAAACCCTTCTCTTTGATCATCGCTTTGGTCTGTATACATTATGGCTGAACCCACCTGTCCGCGCCTGTTCACTTCATATTTCCCAGCCCGTATCCCGGACCTGTTTTAGACTTGTGTCCAAATCAATCAGATAATTGGAGTGGCATTGTGTGTGTGCCGTATGGTGTACAGCGCTGGGGAAGGAATCTGAGTGAGCCGGACTGCAAAAGCGAGGCAGTGACCCTCGACTGCATGTGCCACTTCATCTTGTAAATGCTGCCTTTGTGGACAGAACTTTGTAAATCAGCTCTAATTCTCAATAACACAATGGTGGGGGAAAATCGGCAAAAGAAATGCAGTATTTGGGGCTTGTGTGTGTGTGTGTGTGTCGTAAGGTACTTCTTTGTAAAGGACAAAAAGTGTAGTCATTGCTGAAGCCTGTATCTTTATCAGTGTGTTGTCTACTTTTCCAGACCAATTAGGGTTCAAAAGATGACTGCTTTGTTCTCATTGTCGAATGGAAACTAATTGGGGCCATGTTTACCCCTGTTTTGCTTATGATGTGGAGCTGCAGGCACGTTTGCATTGAGGTATTACAACAAATGCAAGATTCATTCAGAGCTGCCCTAGTTTGAAGCAAGAGAGAATAGGCTCAACTCCCATGATACCCCTCGGATATACCCAATATTTATCAGAATGAGTGAAATTTGGCTGAAAAATATAAATGCTTGAATTGAGTTGTTCTGGAAAGACAGTGCTTTTTCTGTGTAATAGTATCATCGTCATTGAGCATGGAAAGCAATGTGTGAGTCATCCTTTCCAACCCCAGTCCCCCTCGGTCAGCCCAGCTTTGCCACAGCCCACTGCCTCACCGCAAGGAATACTCTCTGTAAGCACTTTAGCCTCACTGCTACTATCTGGTCACTTAAGGTCCTTTTTTTTGCTATCAGCAGATGATTGCTGGCTGTTTTTGTTGGTTTGGATTAGAACATTACTTGATTCAGTCTATCCCTGTTGTTTAGAAATAGGTTGTACATGTGAAGAACAAGGGGCTCCAACTTCTCCCCCCCCCAGTAAGCTAATTTCTAAGTGGTCGAAAGCAGCATCATGTTGGGCTAGCCTCATATGGGTACAGTCTGATTCCTATTGAACAGTCTATCGTCATTTGGCAAAGCAGAACTAAAAACAAGAGTGAATTTTAAGATCCGCAATATTCAGCTGATTTGCATTTTCTTATTACCGCTGCTTAAAAACAGGCTGTGAGCGACTGGTGGCTACTGGTTTGAGACCCCTGGTGTTGAAATGATAACTGACTTTAAACATGAGACTTTTTCTTCAGCAACTAGGGAGGTATTGTGATTATCTGTGTGTGTGCATGTGTTAAAGTGGGCAGGATTCCGTAAAAATGACTGGACGGATTAAGCAGAAATGTTTTTTGTAGATGGGATGTGATGGTATGAAGACCCTTTCTCATACTCATTCAGACATGGGATTCGAGGCTTTCAAGGCTTTGACATTGTTTCTGATTGGCTCAGGTCCAGTTATCTAGGAGTTAGAGAAGATATATGTTCAGTTCTTGATACATTACTACTGCATTGTGGAAAGGAATCAACCAATGCGCACATTTTACTTCAATTACATCCTTTTGAATGACTATGTATCTGTTGCTGGGTACCACGGGCAGCCATCTGAGCAGAGATGCCCAGACTTCCTAATCACTAAACACTTCCTCCCACTTATCCTCGTTCCCAGGCCATCGGAGTGACACAGTTCCTCCAGTATGTCCTGGGCCTTCACCACAGACTCCTACCGTTTGAGAATCAATCATTTTTATTGTTCAATCAACAGCAAGTGTGTTTTTAGGCAATGGGCTCAAAAGCCTCATGTATTCTGTGAGAATTTTCTTTTATTGCAGTATTAGGTAAGTAAGAACATGCCTTGAGAGAGAAGAGAGAGACAAAATAGAGAGATAAACTAACTTTATAGGCTTGTGGTCCAACCAGTCGCACTTTGAGAGAGAAGAGAAACACAAAATAGAGAGAGAAACAATACAAGCCTGTGATCAAACCAGTTAAAACTTTGAGAGAGAAGGGAAAGACAAACTAGACAGAGAAACACCATATGCCTGTGATCAAACCAGTTGCACTTTGAGAGAGAATAGAAAGACAAAATTGAGAGAGATAGACAAAATATTGCTATTAAAACTAAAGTCTTTTAAACTCAAAAAGTACATTTGCGGCGATGGATCAGGCAAAGTCAAGTCGATGGTGTTGTAAGGAGGAGAAGTGCGGTGGCTCCTGTGAATTTTCATCTTGAGTCAGTTTTTCCAGCTCAGGCTGTGGTGGTGATTTATCTCCAGGGCTATGTGTGCTGCAGAGTGGAGACAGTGAAGTCAACCATCTGGTATTCCCCCCGTTAAAGCACTTGAAGTTTGTGTAAAGCAGCAGTCTACAGCAGAGGCGCTGGGAAAAACGCTCAGGTGCTGAGGACGAGAGGATCTGTCAAGGTCTCGTACTGTTCTCCCAGGACGCAGACGCAGGTTACGTGGAAGTTAGAGAAAGTTAGAGGAAGTTGGTTTGACTTGATGTGTCGGTAAAACGTCCTTAATCTAACGTCAGTCCGTCATGTATTGTTGCATTTTTGTTATATGTGTTTAAAGGTCCGATATTTCAAAATCTATTCAGTAATCTCTGTGAA